GTGGTCAGCCATAGGTTAGACTACGCATGCATATCTTACATATGCCACAATTGTACTTTCTCTGAGAAATGTAGGAGTACACTATAAATTAGAATCGGTGGGAAACCACAGGTTATCTCAGTGAAATAATATCACCGATTGAATAAGTGACATCCAACAGGGTGCGGTGAATTAAATATAACTTTTGTTAAATTTAGGCATATTATTACGAGAAAAAATTATATTTGCGATAGTCACTGCTGATATTGTGCATTTTAAAGTAATTAAAAACATGGAGAGAAAGTGCATGGTGTCCAGGACTTAAACCACAGCACCCAGCTTCAAGACTGATATCGTATCGTTCGTTCTACCGAGCAAACGTTAATTGTAAACGTGAAAATATCCTTAATATGTTAATTTATCGTAATTACGTAGTTTAATTCTATGCCTCTTGTCTTCCTTTTTAATTTATGTAGGAACTTTAGGAAAGTTGAAATGAAAATTACATATGACTGCACTCACTTCACCACATCTAATGCATTCTAAACCTTTAAACTTTGCGCTATGACGGTCATGTGAAAATGAAATGAAAGACGTAAGAACGGAATATGCCTAACAGACTGAATTTCCATTTTGCCTCATAAAATTGCATTATAAAAGACGAAGCTCACATTTCCTAAAAAAATTTCATGAGTTTTATTAGTTTATGCGTTAATTTATTTGATTTGATACACTGAATCAATAAGTGATGGAAAACTGGCACTTTTTCTTCACTAATTAATCGATTAAATTAACTGAAGTGACCGTTGTATAAGTAAGGGGCTGTTAACGTATTTAAATAGTGAAATTCTCACTTATTTAGATTTGGTGTATTATAGTTGACCTTTACTGTTATTGATGTTCCTGCTCGTGTTTTATGTCCCCCTTTTTATTACATTCATTTCGCCATTTAAACGGATTGTCACTTGTATATCTTCTTACCCTGGAATGGTTGCCCTTGGTAACTGGAGATGTGGTTCAATTACCGTCTACCGCCGTTCCTCATACAAGGTGAGTATAGATCTGTGTGCTATGTCTTCTAGAGCGACACTATAGGCTGTTCACTACTAACTAAGAGCACTTTTCGAATCGACATTTGGAAAAGTCGCTCACTGCCTGTACTCGCATTTATTTTAACGGCCGCACTAAATGTCGTGCGCCCAGTAAGGTTGGTAACGGCGGAGTAAAAGTAGTCCCGTTTCTTACAGTTGAACACAAGTAGAAAATGTTATGTAGTAGCTGTTCGCCATAAAGTGAGCACTTTAGAAATCAACCTTAGAGAAAAGTCACTGCCCCTACCTGCATTTGATATTTTAACCGGAGCACGGGTGGCATGCGCCCAGTAAAGTTGGTAACGATGGATGGAAAGTAGTTTCGTACATTAACGTCGAATAGAGAGTTATAGGTAACCATTTGTGATGACTTAAATTATTTGTTACGCTTTCTGTGTTTCTAATGCATCGAAGTGTCAAAATAAGCAGCTTTTAAAATTTCACAGTTTATCTTGACCGACGCGAGACTAAAGTGATGAGGAACGTGGTAAAATTAATGTGATATATGGCGGAAGAATACACAACGTGCGTGCAAATATATACTGAGCATGTATTTCAGAAGTGGTAATTTTACCGTGAACAGCCTATATACATTTGCGAATACTGGAATTATATATCTTGCTATCTAATTTTTAAATGCATGCAATTGCGAGAATAAAATAATTTGTCAAATATTTACTTTCCTATTAATTTTCCATCTTCACTAGACCGGGAATGGAGTTATTAGACTCATGGCAGTGTTAATTTTCTATATAACAGAATAAAACCGAATACCCACACAGGTATATCTTAATCAGTGCTATCGAAAGTGCTCAGTTTACTGTGAACCGCTTATAATTTCATCAGTGATAGCTAAGTAAGCATGCATTACCTTACTCGATCACCCTCCCCTCCCCCAAAAACCACCGCTCATTCAGCTCGGAGTCTTGTTCTCATGTAGCAAGAGCGGTTTTCGCGCCGATTCGTCCTTGACCATGCAAGTCTCCCTTACCCAACTACTAATTCCGTGTTAGTTACAGTTTTTTCTTCCTTATTAATTTCCTTGTCACCAACTCCCATGTTCGCTATCTCTGATATTTACCACAGTGCTGACATTTACTCAGCTAGTGTGAGCTGGAATAGTAGGTTCGTCAAGTCAAATACATGGCACAAGCAAACGTCATTAAATACTCCCAGAAAACATATGGTACTGGTGTTGTGACACATGCAAACGTTGAATATCGTACCCAGAGTCATCGACCTAAAAAAAAAATCACAAATTGATTACAATTATTTAAATAAAGCTCTTGATTTGCTTAAAAAAGATGCGACATCTATATAGTACAGGATAGGGATGAATTCTACGGACAAACTTCATGAGATGATTCCTTAATGCAAAATCGAGTGCAAATATATAGGACACTTCATACTTAAACGAAATATTAAAGCTGAAATAAGTCCCCGAATATTGATATTTTGGAATGTATTTTTGCGAAATATTGGAAACCAAGTGCGATGAAAGTGCAACTCGCGGGACATTTTTTAAAAATGTTATTAGGGTCGTCAACCTAAGAGCAAATTCACATTAATAACACACCCGGTTACGAAAATAATACGGTTGGCCACCCTCTTATTGCCGGCAATAGCCTTGGGAATTATGAAAGTTTGATGCTGGTATGATCAACGAAACAAAAATTGTCCCCTTCTTGCAGCTACCTTAGGACACGCCCTTTTCGTTTAAAACGCACACATAGGTTCCTCTAGATTCCTCTGTTGCGATAGTGTGCCTCGTACGAACAAGGTTAGCGCCTACTGCAAACACTGCGTACCTTACACGCGTGTACGACGTATTGCCAACGTACGAGGCACTGTATCGCTGCAGCGGGATCTAGCGGTATTCCCCCAAACAGACCCCTTTTTGTTTTTTTTTTTTAAGGAAACGGTGGGTTCTAGGCAGTAGCAACAAGGGGTCATTTTTGTTTCGTAGGTCATACTGCTGCGTAAACCAACATCAAACTTTCATAATTCCCTGAAGGAAACGAGGTTGTCAGCAATAACAGGATGGCCACCCATGTTATTTTCGTAACGGGGAGTGTTATTATTGTGAATCTGCTCTTAGGTTGGCGATCCCAACAACATAAAACAATGCTCCGTGAATTGTACTTTCCTATCATCTGGTATCCGATATTTCTCAAAAATACTTTTCAAAATCTCCATTTTCGGGACGTATCACACCCTCAGTATAAAGTTTCGGTACAAAGTGTCCTATAAATTTGCCTTTTGATTTTGCATAAGGGATCATCTGATTAAGTTTGTCTGTCAAATTCAGCTCCATCCTTTATAGTTATAGTGTTATTTATATGTTGAAATCTGTAATTCTATGTAATCTAACATTAATTTAAAGTATAAATTGAGGGATGAAATGAGAAGACACTGAAAATTGAAGGGTAATTTTTAATGGGTAGTATCTACTACACGAGACGAGGGACTGCGAATCCGCGTTATCCAGCATACATGGAACTTGCAGTGCGTTTCAAATACACATTTATCAATAAAACTATTAAACTTGCATCCAATGTGCTGATATACTAAAAGACAACGCACTTCAGATGAGAGCTGTTGAGTGATTTAAAACGTCACTTATATTAGAAACACAATATAATAGCAATATAAACAGGTTGAAAACTACTTTTTCAAAACGCTCTATTTCAGAATACACGCGTCATATCCATACGAAACTCCTTAAGACACCTGCATTGAACCTTCCTACGGGCCTTACACCAATAACATAGCAGGGTCACCGCTTAAAGTCCCATAGGGACTCGCAGTACGATGAGAACACTGCACGTCAGTTGAGAGCTTGCGCTTAGTGGCGATGGCGTAATTAATGCCGGCGGGAACTTCGTCCTTATTGCTCTTGCGCTAGTCGGCATCGAACGCGGAGAAAAGCACTTCCACCTGGCTGCAGCATTTGCAAGTTCGAGGCGTCAAAACGCGTGACGTCTAAGGCCGACTTTCGCTCACTCGCCGCTTGCCTTATCGCCTTATCGCCACTATAGGCTAAGCACTTGACAAATGAAGATAAACGTATATACATATACGTGTCTATAGTCTACTCGCGGTTTCTTCACCCTTTTTGAATCAAACCTTTGAAAAATCTCCCCATAAATGACGTGTTTAGTTATTCCCAACACACGCCATATATCACAAGCGTTTAATACTAGTGTTCATAAAGGTTACTTTTTTTTAATGTTATATTGAAATGTTATTCACATTTTATCTATACAATATAATGCTTCATTAAAAAATAATTTGAATAAAAAAACAGTGAGAAAACATGTATGTTGGTAGAGCCTAGTAAGAAATAGTTCTTATACAAACTTCAGTGCGTTGTCCTTCGGTGTAATTTTCCAGACTTAGTTAAGCTTAGTGTGCATTAGGCGGAGGAATACCCTGAAAGCATAACTTTAGCAGGGCTTCAGAAAAGTTTGAAGTAACCATGAATGGATTATAAAGACAAATCTGAAATTTCTCTAAAGAAAACTTAACAGCTACTGTAAAACTGATTCTGAAACCGACCGGTTCAGCCATTTCCGTGACCAAAAAAAAAAAAAAAATCATCATAGTTGAAAAGAGAGATTTAAGTTTGTCTTAGGGGCACGAAACGTTTCCTAAATACTTTTCGTGTTTAGACGCCACTTCAAAATATACAATAGTTTTTTGATCACGTGTTTTCTACCAGACCTCACTCTTCCAATGCAGTTCACGCGCCAGCCAGAAATTTTGAAAGCATTTTGTTCATTTCCATCGGTTGTATCATAGGGCGCATTTCCAGCGACATTACTGTTGGAATAATGCTTCGCCGTAAGGGAAAAAACTGAGGTGGCGTAAAAAAAATTGTTTTCAATGCATGGAGGCGGAAATGAAACACGAAAACCGCAAGAATAGAATTGGCCCGTGGGGGGATCGAACCCACGACCTTCGCGTTATTAGCACGACGCTCTAACCAACTTTAGCTAACGGGCCAGGTGAGTTTTTCCGCTCAACTGTATTTCATTCACATTTAGGATTTTGAGTTTGACCTTTGGAAAATGACCCTATGTATGCTGTTTTTCTTTATTTCATAAATATGTCATTCATCACAAGCGTTATATACTTCTGTTAACGTAAAAATATCTTATTTTTGGTTAATATCTGATCAGATATGCAGCGATATAAACATAAAGGTGAAATACACAATTGTAATCAGCAATATAATATATATGTATGTATGCATATATATATAATTTTTTGTAAGAAAACATTTTGCAACTGGTTGTAAAAGATTTTTTTCAAAGTTCCCTTTTTTTATTTTGAAAAATCTTAACATCACCGATAATATAATCGAAACAATAGAACATCAGCATGATTGAGAATTATATGCGTGACTGCAGCATGTATCATTATTGATTACATTTCATCACAAATAAACAATTTTTCCCCCAGAAATATTCAAGAATAATTGCCACTTATAATAATATGAGCTGTAACGCCTTAAAATTAATACCTTCATTTATTAAGAAGTTAAAATACCATATTTAATGTTCTCGAAAACAATAGCGAAAAATTAATGATAAAGAGGTGAAAAATTTTTAGAATCACACTCTCGAAAAAAGAAAGAGTTCACTTTCTCAATACCAAGACTTGAACCAGAACAACAAACATGTCTTGACCGCACGACCCTGGTCTTTCTTTTAACACAAACTACATTCATATTAACTTGGACAAGAATGAAATCCGTCAAGTCTTGGGAAGTTCAGTTGTCCTATATGGCATTAATTGAATAAGAAGCTTCTGGATTTGGACGATATCCATTTTCAGCCAACCAATCATCAGATAATTGCTTAGTTCGGCGAGGTTTCGTGGTCGTATCTCCTAACGTATCTATCTTTGTTCCAAGTGGTACAGGCTGTTCACGATAAAATGAGCACTTTATAAAGACCTGCTTAAGATCTACTTGAGTACACGTTGTGTATTCCTCCGCCTTATGTAAAATAAACATTGGCATGGGCCTCAACACTTTATTCATGCGTCGGCCCAATGAAACTGTGAAAATATTAAGAAAGTAAATACTTTACAAACCTGCTCATATTTACACTTAGATGAATTAAGAAAAAAGCGAAGCGAAAGAAATAAATTTAAGTTATCACAAATGGATACCTAACCCTTTTTATTCGAATTTAAGATATGGAACTACTTTCCATCCACCGTTACCAATTTGACTGGTTTTTTTTCCTACGTGATCTTAATGTCAAGTGTACGCCTGGAGTAGAAGCTGGAGCTAAGTGCATCTCAGGACTGATCCCTATATGCCTACAAGAAGAGGAATTCATACAAGGAGGCATACATTATGAGAGAGAAAGACTGGACAAACACGGCTATATTGTGGCAACAATACCTCAACAAGTGTATGTATGTATGTATGTATGTATATATGTAACTATAGTCAAACTTATAACTAAAAAAGGGAGAGTGGAAAAACGGCATAGGCACCACGAAATCTCTCTCGGCCGAACAGGAGAGCCAAATTTACTACGTGCATTAATATAAAATGGTACAGGAGAAATAAGGGTAGGGATAATGCATTTATTAGTCGGCTGGAAAGATATCAAATCAAAAAAGGGGGGGGGAGGAACTTTTGCGCATCCCGCAGCACACCACCCAGGTAGATATAGTCCGACCATCCTCGTGCAATGCATCTTGAAGTTACTACCATTTCAAACATGCAAGCTAATTTATTTGTCCAGGGAGCTTTTACTGGCGTAATGGCAAATGTAATCTACGACGCCTGCAAACTCTGCAACTGGTAATACGTCTACTGTGTTTTGCTTGCCTACTGAAGGGCGCTGCGAAACGCATTTCCTACTCACTTCGACTTGCAACGTCAGAATTACCAGACACGAGTTCAAGGATTTCAAATGCTCATTATCTTACCGTTTATAAACCCTCTATATTTGACCATTTAATTTAAACATAGTGTATTTTTATAATTATAAAACATCATTTTTTAAGTTGTGCATATTTATATATGTAACTTTGTAAGTAGCCCCATTCCCTTAAAATAAATTGTTTATCTTTCCGGCAGTAATTATTTACAATATAACGGTTCGGGTGAAATTTTTGTAGCACATATTATTTTATTTAGCGTATATTTTTCTATGCAAATAAAATGAAGTTATTTTTCAAACTCTCATATACTCTTGAATAGTTGTTGATTTTTTGAAGTAAATGAATGACCTATATGTCAGTAGATATATTAACAATAGTAATATACAAATAATTTATACGTTGTATATTTTAATTTGAATATTTTTACTTAATTTTGAAAGAACGGTATCGTTTTTAACACGAAAATATAGTGCTGGACGGAATTCATACCATTTATCTACTAAAGGCATCTAAACAGCTCTTGTACTATCATTACTGTTGCAGAATTTAGTCTTCAAATGACAAGGATTTCAAATTTGGCATACGTCTCGTTTGTGCGTGACTTATTCATAATCCTGATCATCATCACGAGGCTAGTTATTATGTAAATATGTTCATTTCAAAATCTATACTAAATATTAACTTATGTGAATCACAGTCACATTCTGAAACTGCTTGCGTACTCGTGCATTAATGAGCCACTCTAGATATATTATCATTATATTTTAAACTTGAACAAAGACAAGTTCCAGAATTGAGGCTAACGTAACTTTTTCTCGTGAAAGGAAATGAAGACACGTCAGCAAAATTCTATCATTGATGTTCAATTCCGGTTGAACGATGGAAATAATCTAGTGCATATAACCATTTATTTTTAAGTACTTTAACACTATAGGAAAGTAATTTTGCTGAGTATTATACAACAACGACGTAAAGCGACATTTAATAAAATAGTCGATAATTAACAGTCTTGCCATAAAGTGCGTGAATAAATAACCGCACAAAAACCGCAGAGTGATCATAAAAATCACCAGCGATGCATAAGACTCGAAACTTACATGACTTTCCAGAACATGTAAAACACTTTTCAGTAGAAGTTTACGAACTAAAAATTTTAATACAAGATAAACATAAGTGAACGTCTGAAAAAAAAAAAAATATCCGTGACAGGTATTCGTAAGTGTCCTGCATCAAGGATGAATGATTCAGTATTTCATTAATAAATGAACAAAAGATTCCTCACGGGTTACAGCAAGGCAGAACTGAAATTATCTTATTTGCTGTTATTTCGTTATTTGACTGACATCGATATTTGCTGACTTAGTCATTTTTCGACCTCCACGTTTGTTTCAATAATCAAATTATGATTGGGCAACGAAATACTGACTTTCTCTTCTGTCCTGAAAAAAAATATTTACATTTAAATATTCCATTTTTTTTTTTAAATTAAACTAGACCCAGTTGTTTACATTATTGCAATGTGGCAACCAGGCAGGCCCCTTAATAAGACTGTTCCGAGTCTTGTAACGAGCTGGAACGGCATGTGCGGCGTGTTAGACTCTCTCGGTCAACAGACAAACGTGAACTTTTCTCTGTTGAGTTGCGATTTCATTTTGAGTACAATGATATGTAGGTTTGTCTTGTAGTGAGCAGAAATGTACATAAACTATGCATGGTTGTTAAATTCATGATTTAATAGTCAATTTATTTCGCGGAAAAGGGGGAAGGGGAAAAAATTAATTACCTATCAGACATTTTGTAAAGATACCTGGAGGCTATTAACACTTTCTGTAAACGTAAGGCCGAAAACCCTGGTCAAATTTTAAAGCTTTATATCGTCCTAAAAATAAAATAAAATAAAATAATAGTCACAAAATGTATACATATATAGGCTGTTCACGGTAAAATGAGCTATTTTGAAAAACTGTGGCTTCCGCCGTAAATATAATTAATATTACCATGGGCTTCATCACTTTATTCATGTGTCGGCCAAATTAAACTGTGAAATTATTAATAAAGGAAATGCTTTACAAATCTGCTCATTTTTACACTTCGATGCTTAAAGAAAGTGAATAAAATATTTTTAAGTTATCACAAATAGTTACCTAACACTTTTTATACGACGCTGAGATATGGACCTACTATCCATCTACCGTTACCAACTTTAATGGGCGAATGTCACTCAGTGCGCCCATTAAAGTATATGTATGCAGGGGCAGTGATTTTTTGTATGGTTGAGTGGTAAAGTACTCACTTTATCGTGAACAGCCTTCAGACACGTTTATTCGTTTGTGTTGCAGAATTAGGCGGGCGGGAAGTTAGAACAGGGGAACCAGGAAATGAAGAGGGGGACTCTCGCGGCTCTTCACGGTTCACAGGCGAAGAGCTGGGCATCGCATTCTTTGGTCAACGAGAATGCCTGAGGCTTGGCAATCTCCACACAATGCCTCACAACAACAGTTAAGTGGCGAGCGCTCGCTTAAATAGTCTCCTCTTGCGTCCTACGTCTTCGCCACGGAGACTACAATGCCTTACAACCTCACATTGTTCATGCACATTGTTCTCCAACACGTAGAAGCGAAGGAAACAAAAAATGTTGCAATTTGGTTACAAGGAAACAAGGATGGTCGAATACATTTGTTAACTATACGTTCTCTAAGTGTGCCAACTATTTTATGCCGTTTCTTATTTTCATTTCATCTAATCTTTTACGAATATTAAACACGGAAAGAGCGGTGTTTAGAAATATTGCTTATCACATTCAGACCCATTGTACATAATTGTGGACATTACGCACGTGTAGGTAAATTCTGGTCTGTATTGCAGCCAATGATTTAACCTGTGTGTGAATGGTTTGCAAACCGTCTTACTGGTCTAGGTCAACTGTAGCCGAACATATAACTTACATACAGCTCATTGGCTGTGAGAACGAAACAAGTGTAGTGTCGACTTAAGTAAAGCATGAATCATAACATTTGTGTTTGAAACACTTGAACAAGTAAATTTAAGTGGGTCTGATAGGGTTAATGACACTTTCTCAACGTAGATCAACTACATGT